GTTTACCCTTAAGAAGTATAATTAAATTAAAACGCACACATATTTGTATTGGAATTACCACACTCAAAAGGTACAGCATCATAGGAGTGACTTCAACATGATTGTTTAACCTCAGAATTGGATTTCTGTCATGACAACTCTTGGAGGGATTGGCATGGTAATGTACATGACAATGTTAAAGGTGGGGTAAGCGATTTTTCAAAAACGCTTTAGAAAACAGATTCGGGCCGACTAGTAAAACTAACTAGTAGCCAATCAGCAGTAAGGGGCATGTCTACTCATGATATAACATACATGAAATAACCCCCATACAGCATACATGAATCACCTCGTAGCAGATCTAAACAGGTGGAGCTGGGGAAGGTGGAGGGTTTCTGAAGCAAGCTGCAACTGCTACGGCAAGCACTAGTCATATATTTGAATTTTGAGCAGCGAGCTCATTGGCTACCGATACAGGAGAGAACCAATCAGCTGTGCCATGTGATAATGATGTCATTAGCTCAGATTGAATTAGACCTATCGGACTGCACCATCTAGAGTTTCATGCGAGAATTCTGTATTTATTAGGAACAATTGTTCAGTTCAAGTCAGATTCCAGCAGTAGACGATCAGCTGCGTTATTAACATTCAGCTTATATACTGTGGCAATGGCAGTTACCCAGCATGCTTTGACTAGTCTTCATTTCTGATTAGGTTTGGATCAGATAATTCAAAGTGGCAGTGGAGTTATGTGAAATGGATTTGCAAGTGTATTTGTTTTTTTGTTAGAAATACCTAGAATTCTGTGCTATATTGGACTTTGTGCTGTAACCCTCAGTTAGAAAATAAAAATATTTCAGATTCCATGCCTTTGTCTATTAAGTGGTCTTCATAATTTTTATAATGTAATGCATCCTATGGACTATATATGGAACATATCCCATTTATAGAACAAAATGCGTCAACACAATTGAGGTTTAGTCCTTTTTTCCCCACAATTTCAACACTACATGCAGTGCCATCAGATTCCATCTTGTCAGCCTTCTTCGATGGTACGGTGGTTTGGAGACACTGATGCATGGGAAAAAAAGAAATCAGATCTATACAGGCAGTTTTGACATGTTGTGGAGAAATGGTAGCATAGAGGTTAAATGTTTAGGCAGGTGCTCAAAGATCAGAAGTCTTTGTGTGAGAAACCACTTCTCCACGCTCTCTTGGTAATACAATGCATGTTGTTCTGTTCTTGTATTCAAAACCAAGATTTGCTTTAAAATACTAACAAGCTAAGAACTACCAAAAGGAAGGTATTAAGTATAGTTTGGCCAAAAACTGCAATATACCCTAGGGTCAAAACTCCCTTAAATGAGTGTAACTATCCTGACTTTCACTGGGTTATCTTGAGCACTGTTCCAACACACAGTTATCACGAGAGAGCATAAGGAGGCAACTTTCCTAGCCTCCAGCTATTTTCCAGTCTCACATTGAAACAAAGCATTCTGTGCAAACTCAGATCTTTCACTAGTGCTTGGAAAGAGTTTAACGTCTGTACACATGCTTCCTGCAGAGACAACACTTAAACATAAAAAATCAATGTTAAGCTTATCATTGGTGTAGTGCACCTGAAGATAAGGTGGCGCTTCATTTGTGGAATTGATTGGTTAGACGGCAGAATCTGAATGACTCTGCCCACGGATCGCATTACATGCGCTCTGCAACACAGCAGTTTTTGCAGGGTGGTAAAAAGGCCTGACGTCATGCCTGTTGGTTGTATCTAAACCTTTAACTAGAATATTTCCACAGTATTCTAAATAAAACTAGAGAGAGACATGCTAAAAATGCCCTCTTTTTGTGAGGAGTCTTGAGTCTCAGTTAACCTTATTTGCATAAAAGTAGATATGCCTTTGATCTAGTGGTTTGATTAGACCTAAAATAATCACCTCAGCTGGTTCACTCAATTGAATACTTGATAACAAATATATTAACGGTCTGTCTTTACATTGTAAATATTGTAGTATTCTAGCTGTTCTTTAAAGAGTGCAACAGTCAAGATCTGGAAGTAAACATCCCATTTATTTTCTCCATAGGGGAATTGGATTTGAAAAATAACTTAGAAATGGTTAAAACTGTGAACTACAAGGTTGTTAAAAGGATAGTTCAGGCCATCCAAGATGTGGTTAGCTGGTTTCTTCAACAGAACAGTAAAGAAGATTTTAGCTGAAACCGTGGTCCTTGGTAATTCACATAATGCAAGTCAGCGGCTGTACGTTTTTGAGAATAATAATAATAATAATAATAATAATAATAATACAAGTATAAAGGAACACAAAATTAATGCCCGTGGCTCCTGATGATATATTGAGGTCTTGTGAAGTGAAACGATCAGTCTGTGCAAGAAACGCAACATTATTATCTGTAATTCATAGCCTCATGCAAGCGGTCCAGAGTGATGTCCGGTTCACATACGAATCATTCTTTTGAACCGGTTCTTTTTGTTGAACTAGTGAACACAGATCTACAAGTTACTCAATCAAATCTCACTTTTGAACATGCCTGATAGTCTCTCTGACTCGAAATGAGGCAAAATACCAAAGTATATGATTCTATGATGCTGTTTTTTGCCAACTCATTCAGCGCTCAAGCTATTTCAACAGTCACTGAACCAAGGAAACAGTTCAGACTCGGCCCGAAGACCAATGAGCCGCTGATATGGACATGCGGGGACTGAGCACTTAAATGAAAGGGCAAAATGAAACTATTTATAGTTTCTCTTTGTTTATGTAAAATGGTGAGCTAATGAAAATAAGATTATTCACTTTATATGCTTTACACATGTAACATCCGCATGTTTCTTTCTTTAATAATATTGTGTATACAGCACATTATGTCATTGCGTGATTATGTAAACAAACTAGTGAAATGAACCAGTTCATTAAAACAAACTGTCAGAAAGAACCAGTTTGTGGAAAATAATTGTATTTCCCTGTTGCCTGAGGTTATTGATTGCAGGTAAAAATGTTGTAAATAATATTTAGTTTCTTGCACAAACCAATCACTTTGCTTCATAAGACCTTAATTGGGGTATTAATTTTGTATTCTTCAATTAAAAAGAGAAAAGTTTTTCCTGCACATTTTTGAAGGTACTAATTTTGTATTCCTAGACTAAAAATGTAAAAAAAAGGTTTTTGAACTTCGTTCACATCGATCCGCAAAAAAATACTAAAAGTTCTGTATTATGCCTGCTAAGCCAGTAGATGGCAATGTCACTTTGTAAAGAAACATGCTCCTGTGAACATACCTATAGACTGGCCATGTAATACAAATGCCCATGACATCACCGTTGCCACATATTTACATTTGTGTATTCTACAAAGAGACGTCTCTTTTGTATTCTACAAAGAGACGAACTGTATCGTTTTCAAAAACTTGCACTTTGGTTTTGCATTTTCAAGCACATAAAACTGCATTGTTTAACGGCCAAAACACATAAAACGTTTTCCATTTTTAGTTGAAAACAATGTCAAGTAAACGCCCCCTTGACTATAAACTTCTAATGAATAAGTAAGTACTTCGCAACCACTAAAAAAGTAGGTTTTATATTGTACAAACGAATGCAGTAGCCTATGAATGTAATTCAGGCTGTATTTTTGCAGTATTTGTCTTGCTGCCGAGCTGATTGTTTTGTAAGCTTGTTGGAACATTTTTGCTTTAGCGGAAAGATACTATACAGCTAAGATTATCAAAATAATGAACCTCATCAGTATTTTATGTCAACGTATTTATTTATTCGGCGAGTAGCCATGTAATAAGTGGGATAATGCACATTCTACTCTGCGCTGGGTGCCTCATAACCCTGTCTGGGTTTGTTTTGGGTTAAATATTTTTTGCATATCACAGTCAGCTAGTTTAACTTTAAAGCATTAAAAACCCACATGAGGTTCTCGCATTGTAGAATCTGACAGATGAACAATAGTGTATGATGAGCGGATGCTGCACATTAGAAAACAAATGATGGTGTTTAAGTGCCTTTAAAATGCCAGCCCTCTGCCAGAGTCTGTGTCATTATAATATGTCAGGAAATATTGTGACATATACATTACATCTAAACAATGATTTCAACAAAACAGAAATTAGATACTTTCTTACGTACTTCAGCTAGTTCTGAATCACTCATTTAAACCAAATATTGAAACTCAGTCTTCATTTATCACCATATTTAAAATCATCTGACAGTCCTGCATGAGCAGTTATCATATCAAGGGTACATTACATGATTTTGCGAATGCTATTTGCATAATTCACATGAGCAGTGAACTGTAAAGCGCAGTACTGGCACAGAGGTGAAATATTATCCACCATGTTTGGATCTTTTGCTGTCACGGGATAAAATAAGAACTTTTAGTCATCTTGATTACAGTCGCACCTATTAGCAGACCGCAACAGTGCAAGAACACGCTCGCTGCAACGAAACCGTTCGGTTCAGTCCTATTATTCCAGCTTTTGCATTTCTCCTAATGCCATAGAATCAATGGACTATATAAAATGCTGCTGTAGACCTCCAATATGTTAACTGTTAATTGGGTCCAATGACATAACCAGGAACAGATTTGGCACAGATGTATTGCTCTGGGGAAATGCAATTCCTGCCATTCTAGCAAGAGGTAGACTTTAAATAACTTAGACAAAGCTCGCAAAATCATACGTTAAGAATGTACCTCAACTTTTCCAGATGACTTTTGTGTGGATTAAGGCAGATTTTAGTCATAGTTTCTGCGTCTCTGCTGTTCTAGTATCTGATTAGGTTAATAGCTTTTACTGATTATATTGACTGTGTCTGGATATTACTCATTCATACCCCACAGTCACTGGTGGGTGTTTTCAAAATGATAGAATATTTTTTCCAGCTCTTTATTTGGAGTTCCAAAAGGATCCTGAGAGAATTCTGTAGGAATTGTGTGTCTCAGCTCTGAAGTAATGGATTATAAATGTACAATTCTGAGTAAGGCTATAAATGAACCGCTCAGTCTGATAAAAATGTTACATAAATCCACAGAAAATGTCAGAGGATATAGAGTGTACTTAGGGTAAAATGCTGCTACAGTCAGAAAACTGTCCATTTCATTTGATTTAGAATACATTAGACTGTAAAATGCTGGCACTGATAAATCTTGAAATTATGATTACAGAGCCATTAAAAAAAAAAAAAAAAAACTAGATAAAAGCAACTAGATTACAAACTTGCTCCAATGAAGTTTATCCCATAATCAGTGGTGAGTTTATGTTGTTATGAATTTGTTATTAACTTGAGTATCATGCACAAGCAACAGTACTTTAGGAGTAAAACTTTCCCTGAAAAAGCTTCAGTTTGCACATTTAACATCAGCTATCAATATCACTGGATAACTAGATGCTAATGTTTTTGTAACCACAACTAGTTAAAACTAGATGGGGTGCTAATAATGGCAACCAGCTGCACCACAGGAGGTTTTTTTAATAAAAAAAGCACAAGTTCTTTGACTAATGTGTAATCACATTCATTTTAAAGCCATTTTATGTTAACATTTCAAATAAAACTCTGTCTGTTTTGCAACTTTTAGCACTGCTAATATTGTTGATGTCGTGATTTATTACTTGTTTCTGATTTTTCATTAAGTCAAGTTCTGCTAAATAAAAAAAAAATGTAATGTAAATGTAAATGTATTCAAAATGTTATGCACTCATACTTCTCATCAGAAAATGTTTCTCACCAAAATAAATGAATAAATGGTTTCCCTGGGCACACCACAGATATTTATCAAACGTTTGGCACAGATTGTACTGTACAGAGATGCATTTTCCATGGTCATTGCAATGTCCAATGAATCTTATTTTTACAAGGTCAGCTATATTACCTTTTCCCACCATTTAAAATTTGATCATAACCTGCTGTATTTTTCAAGGCTTGCTTTGTTATATTGTTGCCATTCACTGACAACATGTTTTGGGTATCTGAGCACATTAGTAACCGTCACGGTCACTTTTTTTACACAAATGTTGTCGAATTCTCATCAAATTTGCTTCAGATTATCTTCAGACATACACTATAAAAATATTTTAAAGCTGTAAATAAAGCAAAGACAACTGCAATATGTTTTACAAATATTATTTCAGTCCTTTTATCTAAAAATGTAACATTTAGTATATTACTCACCATTTTTTTGTGAAATTTACTAGCAATTTTTGAATGAAATTAAATCTTAGTAAAAGTAAACCTTACACCAAATTTATGTCGAACAAAAATGATTGAGCATTCTAAAAATACTGCTACTGTAGTAGGTTAAACAAGAAAACACACACACACACACACACACACACACACACACACACACACACACAATAAAGGCATGTTTTAGGACTTTAAATTGGTGGTTTTAATGATTTTCTAAAGTTTGCGACATATCCTTTAACCTTGTCAATAAAACACTCTAGTTTGATAGCAAGACTTGCATTTCGTATATTTCATTTTTTTTTTCTTGAGCTAAATTGGCTCTCTTTTTTACCTGTGACTAACCCTGCAAGTGCATTGGCATTCATTACTGGCTCCACTACGGTCTGAATAACAAACTAATATTGTTAAATTCACACAGGCAATCAGAAGTGATAGGCATGTGGTAACTTAAGGGCTAGTCTGATGTCAGAGAGCTGTTATGAGTCACAGTGATTCATTGTTTGCCGTGTAGTTATTCTACATGACTGACGACTTCATTCTGGACAGCATGTGATTAAGAGCAATTACTCATCATGCGATTTAATAAGATCAATCTCAACGCATGTCTACTGGTCTGAATAGATCAAAAATTGCAATGACTGATGCGTCCAACTGGAATGAGTATTTTTTTCTGATCATTTTTTTCCCTCTTTCTTAACTAAAAATACATGCAATCGAAAAAAAAAATCACATTTCAAATACATTTCTGAGAAAATCATGTGTCATTATCCTATCCTCAGTTTATGGGACAACCTCAGCAGAACCACACGTCTCACTACCTAATGAGACACAGGCTCTGCATTAAAGAACTGCACTCTCTCTAATGGTTTATATCAGAGATGAATAAAGATTTCTCTGTAAGGGCATTTGGACGCTTCTGTGGCATTGTTTCCACCTCCTCATTACTTTACTATTTTATGGTGAAAGCTGTCAGGTTATCTCTGATACAAGTGAATAATAGACTCTAAATTGAGTGAACAGCTGGGGAGTTTTAAGTTGGTTTTACAAGCTTCCATAATGTACATAATGGGAATTTTAATATACTTTGACATTTTCTATTAAAAATTGGAAAAAAAAAGCTGGTAATGTAATGGAGTTGTAATAGAGGATTTCAAATTATGCCATCATGAATGCAAGCAGTGATAACATTAAACAATCAATATGCCTAAATTAACAGTGTAAAAAATGTCAAGCTGCTTCAACTAATTATTATTTAGTAACTAGTTCCACATAAATGTTATGGTCACTCAATTTCTCTCTTTAAAGTGTTATCTGAATTGTTAGTTATTAGTTGGCTTAACCTATACTGAACTCATTTTATAGTCCATTCAGCTAAAATGTTTTAATTGCTCAAACATTTAGAAAACTAGCAAGTTATGTCAAGTAATATTTAACCATTTACTCCATGTGTTTTAAATGTTACCTAAACTAAGATTTATTATTTGGGCATCATAAGAAATTGCTGTGAAACCAGTTATTACATTTTATATATTTATCACTAAAAACACACACATTACAACACATAATAACCTTTATTTAAAAACAATCTGCATTTATAGCATTTTCTACAGGCTTGAAGAAAAAAAAGTCACCTACACCTACTCTCACCTACTCTTGGATGGCCTGAAGGTCAGTAAATTAATAGCATTAGAATTTTCATTTTTGGGTGAACTTTCCCTTTAAAGCTCCAGTTGACAAGCATACATCTGTAATACTGTAACACCATATGGACTTTTTTGTTGCGTTTTCATTCCCCATGTATTCTGTGACGTAGTCTCTGTTCCCCCTTGATTGTGTATTTGATTCACCTGTGTCTTAATTAGCTTAATTTGCCTGTGCATTTAAGTTCAAGTCTGTTCAGTTTGTCTTTGTCCAGTTTTAAACGTCAATTGCTATGTGTGATTCCTGCCTTCCTTCTGTGGATTATCTCTATGTGGATTTATTAAAGACTGTTTACGTCATTCATCTTCTCTGTGCGTTTCTTATACACCGTAGCATGACAGAAGACTGGACCATAGAAGTGAAAGTACGCTGCGTGTTTTCCCCGCGTACTATTTTTTTGTTATGAAAATTGTTCTTTTTGTTTTTCGTTATGGAGCATGCTGCGAGATTTACCGCTCTCACTCGTAAAGAGCTTCCCTTACTGGACTACACTATCAAGTTCAGTCAACTCGCCGTATGAACAGCGTTTGATGATGAGACTCTGAAGTCCCTATTCTAGATGTGTACATAGCATGGAGACTGTGTTTAAGGCTTGTTAATAAGGATTCGTACTACTATATTGCCCAATTGAAATAATTTCATAATTGGTGGACTTTACATATTGGACAGAACTTAATCAACACTGAGCTGTCTTTAACTGAACAATTATATTTTTGGCAGTGGAAAAAGCGATATATTTTCATTACACTAAGTGCAAATAATGATATATTCTGTTTACACAAAAAAGCAGCATTTTCTTTAACAATGGGTGTGTAATTATAGTTAGGTGGCAGATATGTATACTTCAGTACTGTAGTACATTATAAAACAGTATGCAATAACATATTGAGTGTAAATTATCATACTGTATATATACATTTTATTAGATGAATGCCATGCCAATTTATTGGGACAAAAACCTCCCTACACCTACAGCTAAGCATACCTAATAACACTGTATTATTAATGAGGCACTTTATTTCCACTTTTCAAATATTTACTTTATTTTTATTGAAAATAAATGCCTTTCTGCTCTGGTATGTGATGAGAAAAGGAGAAGCACGAGTTTGACAAAAGCCAGATTCGAACTCGGGTCGATCGCGTCAAAAGCATTCATCTCACACATTTTACTCACTGCACCACTGATACTATAGATAAATAGGCGTCTTTTGCAGTGCTGTTTATCACAGCCAGGCATTGGTGGGCGGAGTTCATGTAAATAGCCTCTGCCAACAAATTGGTCTATTTAGAGGTAGTGGAGACCATACTCCATTCCAAATCTCCCTCCACGAGGCAATCGTACACTGCGAAGTGGCATCTTTTCACTTCTTGGTGCTGTAGCCGTCAGCTGGATCCAGTAAACTGCCCGACTGGTTCAATGCTAGAGTTCCTGCAAGAACGGTTTCCGCAGGGTTATGCCCTTCCAGTTTGAAGGTCTACTTTGCGGCCGTAGCTGCTTACCACGCACCTTTTGGTGGTCAATCTTTTGGGAGAGACCCACTTGTTATGCATTTCCTCCGTGGTACACTAAGGCTGAGGCCCCCAGTATGCTCTCGAGTCCCACCATGGGATCTGGCCGTGGTCCTGGAGGCCCTCTGTAAACCACCGTTTGAACCTATAGAGGAGGTTTCAGAGTGGTTCCTTACCTACAAGGCAGCATTTATCTTGGCTATCTCTTCGCTGAAGAGAGTTGGAGATCTGCAAGCCCTTTCTGTGGCACTTTTCTGTATGGAGTTTGCGCCTGGTATGGCCAGGGCTTTCCTTTACCCTAGACCTGGGTATATCCTAGGGGTGTGAACCTACACTGGTCTCACGGTTCGGTTCGGTTACGATTATTATGTCATCAATTCGATATCACGATGCATCACAATGCGTTGACAATGCACTGCATTATATACACACACAACATATTCAATTATTTTTTTAAGTGGATATTTAGAAGTGTTTTGTAAGTTATATGTCAGAAGAAGTGTGGATATGAAGTTAAATGTACTGCAAGTTCACGTGTCAGGTAAGTGGCACTGAATAAATATTTGTACTTAACTTAGACTAAATTTATAAAAAACGTATGTATTAAAAAGGTGTAAACGTGTTATATAAAACCTACATATTTATACTAGGGCTGGTAATAACGCATTCATTAAATTAATTAATTACGGTGAAAAATAACGCTGTAAAATTATTAATGCATTTAACGCACTTGCCCCGCCCCAGACCTATGTGGGTCATCTGACATTTGATTGATGACAAATATGAGGCAGGGCAACAACTCAGTGAGTGATGGAGCCTAGAGAACATAGTTAGAATGTCCCTAAAATTCAAGTTATGTTTGAGTTTTGTCTTATATTTACATCATATAGTTAAGCAATATCACACTAGCAATAGGCTAAATGCAATATCACACGAGTCGAGTGATCTTATAGGCCTACAACAGTTCAGTAAGTAAGAAGTTAATACTGATATTTTAGACACAATGTTGTCTGTTTTGCTCAATTTTGCCAACGAAAATATAATGACAAAGCAGAACTGTTCGTCTCTGAGCAACACACAGCGGCATTTCATTTCTTAATGCACGATTAGAACGAATTGGGTGAACCATTTGGCACGTTGAACCATTGGCCATAGGCGCGTTGGATTTGAAGAGGCGCAGCACGGACCGATCGGTGTATGACATCAAAGTGCCACGAGCGGGATTCAAAAGCATGCAGAGTCGTCTCTTGCGGTACTTTGATGTCACACATCGATCGATCTGATGGTGATGATCCGCTTCAAGTTGAACAAGCCTAATGATTCAATGGACCATTCATAAAGAACCATTTACTTCACTCCTGAATGAATCAGCCATGTGAACAAATCAAATGAATTAATAAATGACTTGATGACTTAATCATTAAGACATTTACCACCACCTACTGGCAGTTTTAGTTTATTATTTAGAGTATCATTTCCTTAAAGAAATAATTTCATATTTCCATAGTAATAATGATAAAATTAATACAATTAATTATTAAAGGTATAGTTCACCCACCCAGAAATGACAATTGTGTCATCATTTACTCACCCTAATGGTCCAAAAGAGTATATGCGATACATTTTATCAAACACAGTATTTCTTGCTGAAGCTACTTTTTGTAAAGTCTGTTTGATGCTTTACACAACAATGACTTTAATTTATCTTTTGGGAGTAATTTCTCAGCCAAATTTGGTGTGCGATTAATTTGCGATTAAATAGATGAATTAATCACCACATCATGTAATTAATTCGATTAAAAATTGTAATTGCTTACCAGCCCTAATTTATACACAAAAGTACAACATATAAAAACATTGAATAATTGGTGTATGAATTATATAGCTTATGTCTGTGGGAAATGCACTGTTTAAGTTAAGGGAACGTGGTCTTTCATCTCGTTTAATCCATAAAACATTTAATGTCAAAAGCTGTGTTACTATAATGAATTTTAGATTTAATTTTTGCGTGTTGTATGATATTTTTGTGTTTATGTGATGTTAAAAGACATGAAGAGATTGTGTGGTCTTTCTCTCTTTATAAGCCATTGATGCTTAATACGACTAACTTAACAGAAATGTTTGAAACGTTTAATGTAAACTGCAGTAATGCGCTTATTTGAAGTTAACATGGGCATGTTGAATACTTTTTTGCATGTGCAATCAATTGCAATTGTCCTGTGAATTTAAAAGACGACATTAAACGTGACTAACAACCAGCCACGATGAATGTCACTCTTTTTAAACGGGGCTATTTACAAAGGGCATTTTTAGCGTCGTGAATGGCGCTTCGGAAGAAGAGTCCGTTGTTCCGAATGAAAATGAACAACAACCAAATCGTTTCACAACGCCATTATCAAAGCAGGCTGCGAATCAATCAGCTACCTAGGTAGTGAATCAGTATGTCGTGCACTGGGAAAGACCATGGCTCAGTAAACATTTGGAGAATTGATCAAGCAATTTGTAAAATGTTACCAGGGCTTGACATTAACTTATTTGCTCACCAGCCACTGTGGCTGGTGGTTTTCCAAAATTACTAGCCACTCAGCATTTTCAGCGGTCATCATTTTGTTGCTGGGAAATTACATTTTATATTATTAAAGTTCACGACTGCATACTAACATTTACTTAAATTGATTTCCTGGTAATTTTTGCCTATATAAAAGCAAGTCTTTTTTACTAACCTTATTAAATGTATACATAATTTCTCATATCAAATAGTTAAATAAATGTTACAAATAATTACAGTTAATATAATGAGACACTATAGGACTGTTATCAGTCAAATTAAATCAGAATCAACAATACAGATATTTCCACTGCAGAATAAAGTGAAGCAGCTGAAGTGGCATTTTAGTTGCATTTTTACACAAATGTAATGAAGCTCAAATGTAGCCTGGCATGAATGCATTTACGCTGCAAAATTACAACTGCATAAATAATGTTATGTTTTAAATTACAAATTTAAATTAAAAGTATTTTTTTTATATATATATATATATATATATATACAAATATGAAATACTTTAAATATGAAAGTAAACCACCAGCAGGTGGCAGCAAGTGACTGTCTTATTGAGTGAGTCTTTGAGTCACTCATTCAAATGATTCGTTCAGACAGCTGATTCATTCAAAAATGTTCGAAATGCCATACTATCATACTACTCTTACTATTTCTGCAGTATCCAGTATGTATTCTGTGCATTGTACGGTATGCAAATTTTCTGTATGCATGGAATACCCAGATGACCTACTATATTTGCCAGAATCTGCTAAATATAACTCAAATACACTGAAATTAGTACAGAAGCTGTGTTAGGAATTGCATACTACCATACAACTCCTACTATATTGCAGTATGCTATGTGTATACTGTGAATAGTATGTGAATGTCTGACTGTTTCAAAGATATTAAAGGTGCAATAGGTGATTGTCTTCAGAAACATTTTTTCTTACGCTGGTTGATAGTCTCTTCACATCCCGATAGCAATCATTAAGTTCCCTTTCTAGGGAACTTCGAACTGTGTCCTCTAGGGGTCGCTACTGGGAACGCTTCGTCGTGACTCGTGTCAGAAGCATACATTCAACAAACACCAACAACATGTTGGCCGGCGACAGCCTATGACGTCACTACCAGTGCGACTATAGTATAAATAGGCGCCGGGAGAACACGTCATCCTCTTCTTCGCTTCGGAAGAAGAGTCCGTTGTTCCGAATGAAAATGAACAACAACCAAATCGTTTCACAACGCCATTATCAAAGCAGGCTGCGAATCAATCAGCTACCTAGGTAGTGAATCAGTATGTCGTGCACTGGGAAAGACCATGGCTCAGTAAACATTTGGAGAATTGATCAAGCAATTTGTAAAATGTTACCAGGGCTTGACATTAACTTATTTGCTCACCAGCCACTGTGGCTGGTGGTTTTCCAAAATTACTAGCCACTCAGCATTTTCAGCGGTCATCATTTTGTTGCTGGGAAATTACATTTTATATTATTAAAGTTCACGACTGCATACTAACATTTACTTAAATTGATTTCCTGGTAATTTTTGCCTATATAAAAGCAAGTCTTTTTTACTAACCTTATTAAATGTATACATAATTTCTCATATCAAATAGTTAAATAAATGTTACAAATAATTACAGTTAATATAATGAGACACTATAGGACTGTTATCAGTCAAATTAAATCAGAATCAACAATACAGATATTTCCACTGCAGAATAAAGTGAAGCAGCTGAAGTGGCATTTTAGTTGCATTTTTACACAAATGTAATGAAGCTCAAATGTAGCCTGGCATGAATGCATTTACGCTGCAAAATTACAACTGCATAAATAATGTTATGTTTTAAATTACAAATTTAAATTAAAAGTATTTTTTTTATATATATATATATATATATATACAAATATGAAATACTTTAAATATGAAAGTAAACCACCAGCAGGTGGCAGCAAGTGACTGTCTTATTGAGTGAGTCTTTGAGTCACTCATTCAAATGATTCGTTCAGACAGCTGATTCATTCAAAAATGTTCGAAATGCCATACTATCATACTACTCTTACTATTTCTGCAGTATCCAGTATGTATTCTGTGCATTGTACGGTATGCAAATTTTCTGTATGCATGGAATACCCAGATGACCTACTATATTTGCCAGAATCTGCTAAATATAACTCAAATACACTGAAATTAGTACAGAAGCTGTGTTAGGAATTGCATACTACCATACAACTCCTACTATATTGCAGTATGCTATGTGTATACTGTGAATAGTATGTGAATGTCTGACTGTTTCAAAGATATTAAAGGTGCAATAGGTGATTGTCTTCAGAAACATTTTTTCTTACGCTGGTTGATAGTCTCTTCACATCCCGATAGCAATCATTAAGTTCCCTTTCTAGGGAACTTCGAACTGTGTCCTCTAGGGGTCGCTACTGGGAACGCTTCGTCGTGACTCGTGTCAGAAGCATACATTCAACAAACACCAACAACATGTTGGCCGGCGACAGCCTATGACGTCACTACCAGTGCGACTATAGTATAAATAGGCGCCGGGAGAACACGTCATCCTCTTCTTGGTCTTCATTGACTGTTTTGTTTGAAGCGTGCATTCCGGTGGTACGAGTGATCTTTCATCCTTTATTATGGCGAGCACTAGCAAGACATTTAGGAGATGTGTGCATCCGTGTCTTCGTTATTTGACACCTCATGACACACATGATGTCCTCGAGGGGGCAATCTGCGTTAACTGCGAGCATTTTTCATTGAAAAAGCTCCACTCTCATTTGTCTCTCTTTTCAAGGAAAGAGGGGCAGCCGTCTGCTCCCCGCGGTTCAGGACCTGCCGCTGCTGAGGCACGGAGGAGAATGAGGTCGTGGGGATCGCAGGCGGATATGACTGATGAGTTTAAGGAGGGTCTTTCCCTCTCCGCTCTGACTCCTGTCAGGGGGAAGTCGTGGCCTAATGGTTAGAGAGTTGAACTCGTAACCCAAAGGTTGCGAGTTCGAGTCTCGTACCGGCAGGGATTGTAGGTGGGGGGAGTGAATGTGCAGCGCTCTCTTCCACCTTCAATACCACGACTGAGGTGCCCTTGAGCAAGGCACCGAACCCCTAACTGCCCCGGGCTCCGCAGCATAAAATGGCTGCCCACTGCTCCGGGGGTGTGTTCACTGCTGTATGTGTGCACTTAGGATGGGTTAAATGCAGAGCACTAATTCAGAGTATGGGTAACCATACTTGGCCACATGTCACGTCACTTTCACTTTCACTGTTGCAGGGGAGTATGAGAGGCAACGCTGTGTTTTTGTTTTTGGACCTACCTGTATAAGGAGCTCGTACACGGTTTGGACTGGTCCCGCCCAGCAGCCCTTTGAGCATGAGAACAGCGAGGAAGGAACCGCTGGAATGCCGCTGCCTGACGCCTAGCCTCCTGAAACCTGTCGACGACAGTATCGACTGCGTCGCCGAACAGGTCAGAAGGCGCCATCAGGGCATCCAGCAAAAAGACTCTGTCCTTCTCTTGAATGTTGGACAGGGTCAACCACAGATGCCGCTCTGTGGCCACCATGGCTGCCATAGACTGCAATAGCTCTGGCGGTCTCCTTGGTGGCACGGAGGGACAAATCTGCAGCCCAACGCAGCTCTTGGATGTCGTCGACCTGCTTCCGTGTGCGCTTTTCCCACCAAAGCAGAGGAGGTCCGAAGCGGCTTGATGGGAAGTGCTGTGGTCTTCAGGGACAATGCCGTACCAGGAGACAGATAACCAGCTAGCGACTGTTCTACCCGTGGCATCGCCCCATAGCCACGATCCCTTAACCCCACCACATTGCTCCCTCGAGAGCTGACTGTGCGTGCTCCGCTCCCAAACAAACAAGGCACATACTGTGTGTATCCCCACCGCATGAAACGCTGTTTGTCACCACTTTTAGATGCCATAATAAACAATCGTAACAGATGTACAACAGTAAATAGAACGTACTCACAGAGCACTTACTGAACAAGAGAAGCTGCCACTGTCTCCACCGCAAGTGCTTTTATACTTCCTGGTCATTACGTCAACCCATCCGTAATGGTTTGCCATTCCATCGGACTGTGTTCACATGTGATTCAGAGCGTGAACACGCAGACGCATTCCCAAAGCATTTTCGATGCAGCTCAAGTTCTTGAAGGGGAACTGATTGTTCAGACATCTGAACTTATTGTTTTGATAGAGAAGAAAAAATATCATTCATGAATTGAGCCAAAGCAACTGAGAGAAAAAACAAACAAACAAACTGTAATACTATGTACCTAATAATAAAATAATTACTTGTTAGGTACAATGTACCTATTGTGCTCATGTTGAATTGCTAATCACTGTTGCTGCTATTGAGGTTGGATATGGGTGAAGTTCGGTGCAGGTTTGATGGTATATGATTAGGTTTAAGAAGCAGAGGTAGGGCCAAAAGTGCACTTATAGATGTAACTACATAAATTAATTACAGATATAATTACAGGATGGTATTTTAAAATCTAAGTACAATGTAAAAACGTGAAAAGTGCATGGTAACAGATGATTAATTTAAAAGTACATAGTAGTTAAGTATAAGCGGGTCCCATTTGCACTCAACTCTAAACATGCCGAGCTTCATTGGATTCTTTGATTCTTACCGACGATCCGTGGCAATAAAATGTCACCTTTGAAGTGGGCTACAGTTTATTTTGGCACGACGACACTCAATCGTCCGCAGTTGCTGGACTCTTTGATTTGGTTACGCCATTTACCACCTTATCTAACGTGGGCAGTGGCAGAAGAAATGTTCCGTTACTCTGATGAAATCCCTGAAAAGTCCAGTTTCCACAAGCTTCCAATAAAAGCAATACACTGTAAAAAGTAATCATTGAATCTATTTAAGAAAAGCTAGTAAACATAACTGATTTTTACAAATTTGTTGAATTTACTTAATTACACTGTGTTATGTGAACTTTCAGGTGGGTGCAATAGTTAAACTAAACAACTTTAGTAACCAGTATTTAAGAGCATCTAGTTTGTTGGATTAAAGGTCTGTTTCCATTGTCTGGTGCAAAGAACAATGAATACAGTTTTAGAGTGAATACAATTTGAAATGGTTAAGGTACACAGAAACAATATATGATAGAAAGGAATAAAGAAAGTGAAAAAAAAAATAAACTTCTAAGAAAAAAAGGAAAGGGAATGTATAATAAAAGAACAGAGTTGGAAAGAAGAGAAAAAAATACATGGTAACTGGTAGATATTAAAGTGGCTTTAAGGAAACAGAGAGATCATCTTGCAGGAAAAGTCAATCAAAAGGGGACCAATTTTCCTCAGTTCAAATGTTGTTTGTTGTTGCAATTTTTTTTTAAATTTTAAGATAAATATTTCTACCAGTATTGTAGATCACCAACATATATTGTATTCAACTTCTAGTGCTCCAACAAGAGTTCTTCAACGTTCACCAAAAAAAATAAAATAAATGGTTTTGTGGATACTTAATTGCATGTTAATTGCAATTAGCCTAAATGAATATACTTTATAGTTTACAGTTATATTAAATGTAGCTGAAACTTATTTATATATAATTTCATAATTATCTCTGTTGTCTCTAAATGTGGTTAAACTGTAGTGTTAAATGTACTGACAAGCATTTACAATATGTTAAAGTAAATATACTTCAATTTAATTTCTATTGAAACCTGTGTCATGTATTAAAATTCATATATAATTACACATTTAATTAAACATATAATTATACATTTACAATGATGTTGCAATTTAGTATAATTTATTACAATTTAGAATTTAGTACATTTTAAATATATTAACTTTAAATGCAATATCAAATAGCACGCTACAGTTAAAATTATAATCAAGTACTCTACATGTGCTTTATATGGCGAACCAGTAGTGCACAACACAGCGAAATTAGCACAACAAAATGGAAAAAAGCCACAACACAACTAAATTAGCACAACACAACTAAATTAACACAACAGAAATGTTCCCGGTCCCTTTCTTGGCCACTAGAGAATGCATTAAATCTAAGGACTCTGGTCTAATGAAATTCAATTTTTTTTATGCTTTTCACTGTAGTACCCTTTTTTTTAAACCATTAGCCAAGTCAATTATATGGCTATGTGAATTTAACGTGTAATTTAAAAATCCCGGTGCATTAAAAGCTCTTTAAAATTAGTAATATTGTTAGACCATTTAAAAATCCCACAAATTAGCTTTAAAGCATCGTTTACGTGGCCGCGAGAAAGGCAGCGGAATTAATTAAACAGTAATTATGTATATTGTCAAGAGTCCCTAAAAAACATTGGAATGGTATTTGTATAGTAAATTGTTCAAAATTAGGGTTCCGTTAGTCCATTACCATTATTATAAAGCCTGAATGTTAGTTTTACGCCTTTAGGCAGCAGCTGTTAACAGTGTAAGTAGGCTAGTATATTTTAGATGCTGTTCACACTAATTGACAACAGAAGTATTTTATTGATACACTGTTTACAGTAAGTGAAAATAGCAATAGATTATATTTACACTATTTCTGTCAGGACCACTATCGTCAAAGATGATTGACAATTAGCATGCAGTTTGGATTGGCGGTATGGTTCTGTTCTGGGCAAGAACTCCCTGCGCATCCATGCAGCCTAGCATGGATGAGAACAGGGAGAGCAGCGGTAACCCCCCAATGTAAACAGAACAGAACCAACATAAATGTATTGCAGATATCGTTAAAGTTCAATAATTTAATGTACACATTTTATATTTAGTCTGATTCAAAGGATAATCAGAAGGCTGAATCCTGACTGACAGAGGAGGAGCTGGGGATGGAGGAGGGTAATTAGCTATTGAGCAATGTGAAAACTGCTGATAATACTGAGGGACCTTATATATGAATGCTTAGATAGGAGTCGTATTCCTATAGGTAGATGGGGATCAGCTGAGAGTCAGCTGATGCGAGCTTGACTAACGTGACCTGCCAGAACTAACGCTACACTTGATTTCAGTCAGGACCACTATCGTCAAAGATGATTGACAATTAGCATACAGTTTGGATTGGCGGTACGGTTCTGTTCTGGGCAAGAACTCCCTGCGCATCCATGCAGCCTAGCATGGATGAGAGCCGGGAGAGCAGTGATAACCCCCCAAAACAAAACCATATGCTGATATCCCCCAACACAATCTGATAGCAAAATCTCAAAGCCTTAAGCAACAAGCATGTTGCCCTTAACCAAATGACCAAAACAAGTATGTTGCCAAAACCTGCATAATCTGTAGCAACAATCATGTTGCCTTTAACGGATGACCTAACGAGTATGTTGTCAATACCTTAAAAGCTTAAGCAACATGTTCTCAATAACACCAAATAGACTTAAGAAAAACATGTTTCCGATTCAACCACAGCTTTAAGAACAAGCATGTTACGAATAACGACCGGATGCTCTGGAATAAGCATGTTCCCAATAATGACCAGGTAGCTTAAGAACAAACATATACCCAATACAACTACAGCTTAAGAACAAGCATGTTATCAATACGACTACAGCTTTTAGAACAAGCATGTTCCAATAACAAGCAGATAGCTCTGGGACAAGCGTGTTCCCGACAATACAACTATAACTTAAGAACAAACATGTTCCCAATAACAACCAAGCTTAAGAACAAGCATGTTTCCAATACGACTAGACAGAACAAGCGTGTCTGGTACCAGAGCCGAATCAACACTGAACTGACGGCTGCATCCGAAACTGGAAAATGCTGCCTTTGGAGGACACATTTCAAGGTAGGAAGGCATCAAGACACGTCGAATCCAATGTTAGCTTCACTTCCTGCCTCCTGAGATACCTTCATCTGGTCGATATTTAAAGGCAGAATAGATGCATCCTTCGCTGCCTTGATACCCACAATCCTGTGGGTCCTATCCCGTGATGGTTGAGCAAAATAAATATGGCGTCTGAAGTTATTCCTAGCGATAAATCAGTATTATTAAGTAATTAAATATTTTTAATATTTAAAAATATAGTTATCACCAAAGCTCATTCTATTTTGTTGTAAATCATTGAACGTTAAGCTGCCTCAGAAGCATGTCAGATATCAGTTTCATGAGTTACTACCTTCATGAACAAACACTGCCTGCGAAGTCATTGGCTGATAGGCAGCATGTCAGCAGCCTAGGTTTTCGGATGTAGACGACTTCAACTGAACAATGACCATTTACCATTTTCTCTTGGAGCTGCGCCGCAGCAGAATTGATTCCGTTTGCACCATGGTCGTTATTTTCTGCTGCTTAAATATGTGCTGTAGTGTTATAAAATAAAGTCAACTTGACTATGTTAAAGGGGACATAACGCACACAGTTTAGGCCAATGTCATGTTAATCTTGATTACCTATAGTGTAGTATTGCATTACTCACATCTCCGAAGAGTCTTCAGTTTTATTAGATTCATAAAGAAAGATACAGCTTACGGTTCTCTCCGAAAACAGCCGAGCTCCTGGAGGCAAGCCGTGGGCGGAGCTGAAGAGTCGCGAGCAATTACGGGTCGATTGGCAACAAACACAGACATTTTATGCAGTTTTACAGCAGTTCCTAGTCATGACTGCGATCTTTTATCGCTGGGATTGCTCTGTCTTTCAGTATCAAACGATGTACGAATCCAGCGTCAGAATGTACCTTGTTATAAAACATTTGTCACCGAAGTGACGGGAACAACAAACACGCTCCTGAAACTCCGTTGCTGCCCCGGAGAAAAAAAAATTGCATCCACTGTTCACATAACACTGAAGAAGGTTTTTTTTTTACTCACATCCAAAAACACACATCTTTAGAGACAGTCTTCTCGAGCAAGTAACTGCAGCGCTGCCGATGACTTAAGTAAGTTAACCATGAACGAAACTCGTAGAGCAGCTCGCTCTCGCTCGGGTCACTGAGTACGCACACGCGCATAAGAACCCAACTCTTAGCAGTGTAAACAACTCAGAATGCATGAAACAGCATTAGACCCTCCTTTAAGTGCAGCATATGCAGCGACAAGCATGTTGCCAGTGACAACAGATAAGTACCACACATTGCCAATAGGTCACATAAACTAGCACAACACAAGCATGTAACTGAAAACAACTAAATGAGCCTAAGCAAGACAGATAGCCTTCGCAACACGCATGTTGCCAAACCTGAGAGCATTAAAAGGAAATTAGCTTGTGAAGACGTTCGAGAGAGTGAAACAAAGCAGCTGTGACGGGGATGCTTGATCTCTTGATATCCTTCTTGGGGATGAATTTCCCATCTGAACTTGTTCTTGAGTCAGTTACATAACTCGTGGAGTCCATGTCAATAATGTAGCGATGCGTGAAGTAATGCTAACTCAGTTACTTCCGAATCAGGCAGCTTATGATCAATGCGGTGAATTCACGTGTTTAAGTTAACAAACTTGAATGAAACAGAGGTGAGTCCATTGGAAAATTAATTCCACTCGCTAAATTCCTGATTCCTGTTGATGGTGTTTTGCCTGCCGAATTCACCATTTAATTAGCTATTGAGCAATGCGAAAACTGCTGATAATACTGAGGGACCTTATATATGAATGCTTGTTGGGAAGCCAGTGGTTGGGCGTTGCCTGACGACGCAGAGCTGTGGTTTGAAGTTGAAGTTTAGACGGCACTCTTTCGGAGACACGGCGTTGGGCAAAACTTAACTCGGAACA